ATTAAAAACTAATTTTAAACAATGCCAAAGAAGGATAACTTCTCACGCGCCTACATTTTCAGAAAGCAAGACAGACAAACACACATTTGCATTTATAATTTTTATTTAGTATAGATATACAGGGTCTCAAAAGACCTACGACATAGCAGTAAACCACGTATTGCCATCATCAAAACCATTTTTGTTTTTTAGACTATACCTGCAACGATAATTATTAAATTATACCTGGTATTTTTTTTTCAGGATATTTATTAAACAAATTTTAAACACTATTTCTAAAGGAGATTGCTCAGCTTCCATACATGTTTGGCCTAAAGACCAATAATCATGAAAAATTGTTTCCTAGATTCGAAATTATTTATAAATTACTGTAGAAATGAATATTATTGACGGACACCCCTGAGAACTTCTATAAACCATATACACTGAACATATTAAAATAATAAAAAACAAATAAGTTATATAGTAAACTAGGGAAATCAAGCCAAGTACTGAAATTATGGATTAGATTCAGGTATATAGAGCATGTAGATTAACAGATAGTTGCCTGTTTTTAAAGTTAATGCATAAGAGTAACTTTTAAAATCAGGTGTCATTTCCGGTTATAATAAGGTACTCTGTGACATAAACTGTGTGATGATTGTGAATGAGCCACAGATTAGAGAGAATTTTTAAACCCACGTTAACCAAAGAAAGCTAGAAGAGATTTAGGTTCTATAGCCATATATTCAGTAGCTTCATTATTTTTGTTAAGTTTTTAAGATACATATTTTAGATTTTTAGTGTATCACACCTTATAATTTTATTTATTTATTAATTTATAGTCAGAGAACGTAAGCCCATAGATAGATACCTTAAAGTCTGTATATATACAGATTATAATGTGTTTATGGAGGTGTTTGGCGAAAAATGTATGGCAATAGACTTTATGATGTCGCCTACCTCTCGCCATCTATAATAATTGTCTGAGCACATTTGCATCTGAAAGTGAAAATGATAATATAGTTGTGGATATTAATACCACAGTGTAATAAAAAAAATGATTTATTTTATCGATCTTTACAAAATAGATTTGTTTTTATGTTATATAAACAACTTCGATCAGTCTTTGGCTGAATGTTACTACACCCATAGCCATTAAAAATGATTCGTATGTTTTCCAAACCGGTAAAATTAAAAGTCCTTTTTAAAGTAAATATATTATACAAAGGTGTCCGTTGAAATCTAATGACTGTAAATTAAATTATAAATTACGCCAAGAATTACCGTGTATGTCAATATTTTTTGTGTATTTAGGCCAATTTGAGCAATCTCCTTTCTATCCAAAGAAACATTATCAATATTTTAAGTGTTTTAACATCAAAAAATGAGAATTCGCTTACCCAGCAATACTTTTTTGCCAAGTTGTTTATTTTTATGTATATACTATCTCTATAGCGTGGGGTTTGGCTGTGTCGAAGGACTTTTTACACCATATGTATACTATTGTAAAGTAATCGCCTGATGTATGTTCATACATGATGTATGTCCATGGATCCATCCATAGATGTCTGAACATAAATAATCTAAAAACTCGTATACAGCTCCATCTACTGGGCCCAGTTGTGAAATTTTTATTTAAGGCACCACACGAATGCAAACATTATTAATCGCAATCGGTTTAGCCGTTTAGAAGAAGTTCAATTACACACACGGAATCAATAATTAATATTTATTTAGTCTTAGGTCGATAGCGCAGTAGTAAGCGCGTGAAATTACGCAATGGCTATATTAACAATAAATAAAAAAACGAGAGAGCCTTACAGTAGTCGCGTATGATGTGTAACATTTGAAACCTCACCTTATATTAGTAAAAAAAGAAATAAAACCTACTACAAAAGGAATAATCCATTTGAAAATTATGTTCTTAAATCAAATCAAATATCGCGCGCTTCGCAAACTTCCTGTTACACACTTCCGTCCCACTTCATGTAATTACTCCCACAAATTGCACGAAAGCAAGTGGAAAGATGTTATACATCAATAATTAATAAATGGCTTGTCTGGTCATACGCTGGCTACTTAATAACTTGAGGTCCTGGCTGCATGTGCAGTTGTTAGCTTATCCACCAGTGAACTAAATCCTTGATATCAAAATTTCCGGACTGTTAACACTTGAAGCAATTTTGTTCAACTCTTACCGACACAGTTGACACTGTGTTATGTCCATATTTTTTTTTCTGCGGCTTGTGTCTCATTTACGTTTTCCAGAATGTATCGAATTTCCTAGTTTGACTAGTAAAATCCATTTTGGTAGACAGAAAAGCCACAGAATTTTAAATGGCGGGAAACTGATTTTGTACTTAGGTAATCCTTTTTTAAATGTCAGTCATGCAACAGACATCCAAAGAGGTTGAATTACCTTAAACTTCATACATAGAATATACAAAGGGACTTGTTCCTATTTTGAATGGTGTATCAAAATTTATTTTCCTTTCAACAGACAACTAAAGTGGTTTAATTACCTACAACTTAATACATAGAATGAAGTTGTAGGTAATACAAAGGGACTTGTTCCTATTTTGAATGTGTATCAAAATTTATTTTCATACAAAGGGATTTGTTCCTATTTTTTATGTGTATCAAAATTTATTTTCCTTTTAACAGACAACCAAAGTGGTTTTATTACCTACTTCATTCTATGTATGAATACAAAGGGACTTGTTCCTATTTTTAATGTGTATAAAATTTTATTTTCCTATTTCGTAAGATTACCGTTAATTTCATTTCTACATATTGATTAATTAGTTTCGAGATTGATTCTATTCAATACTGAGGGTTCAATTTTGTTATTTTAATAATTGTGACCAGTCCCGTATAGTGGCGTATCTGTATGATAAATGGTGGCTCCGAATGCATACTGGAGCCGCTTCTCGCATAAGAAATAGTGTGGTTAATGCACTCACATTTAGTACATCCACGGACGCCCGTGGAGTGTTTCCGATTGAGAGGTTGCGCTAAAGGAGACTTCATAAAGACATTAATTTAAAAAAGTTGTTTTAAATAAAATTTTATGTCTTCACATAATCAATCTAGCAAAAAAATTTTTTTTTTAATGAAAACTTAGATAGCTGCATTGGGCATTTTTGGGAAGGATAAAACCGTTGACCTCACCACCTCTAGTGTATGTACTTACTTGCTTATGAATGAATTTGGCATCGGTCTTTCCTTTTCATTCTCTATAGGGAGTGACAGGGACACTGTTTTCAGGTTTAAGTTTTGGTTTGGGGAATCGTGCCGCAATCGACACCAGTATAGTACATGTCAAGTTGCATTTATTTTATATTAAGTTGTCTGTCCCTTTTTGTTATTTTCTAAAATTATACTTTAAATTATTTGTTTATTTGTGTGTATCCGTGTACTGTGCTGTATAAACGATTTTTTATACTTACTTTATTTTATGGGGATAAATTCTTTAAACCTATATAAGAATCTCTGACATACATATATTTATGTTGCCAAGAAATTACAATTATTCGGTACGATTACGATTTTCCCAAGTGCTTATGAACGCGGCTTTACTTCGACTTGCCCGAACACTGCGGGAACGCGAACGGTCCGCTGCGCTGGCGCAGGTGACGGCATGTCTCAAACAAAATGTTATGACGATAAACAACTCGTCAATTTTACATCTCGTGTCTCTCCCACAATCTCTGCTCTAAACCACCATCATAAGATACGAAATCGCTTATAAATTATTTTACTGTAACTTGTGGCACCATCGTGCTCATTGAGTGTTGCAACATTTTATGTGCAGTGCGTCAATAACGATTGATTTTGAATTATATATGACAGAGTATGTATTTGCTTAACCGCCGCTAAGATTAACGGACTGTCGTGATATAACTTAGGATGGCCCATCACGCCACTGATGCGTATAATACAGTCACATTCGTGAATACAATTTGACGTTGATGGGGTATAAGAACGACATATCTTTCTTGTCATGCATTTCTGCACTTAATGTTCAGGTAAAATGTTAAGTCTCAAATGTTGGATGGGGGAGAGATAAATTTATTAAATTTACCGTTTGCTCTGAATTGTTTTACTTGACCAGGATAGCATAGCAACCTTAGAGTCGATACTTTGCTTATCTTTATTATTTGTAATTCAATGAACAGAGACACAACCTGGAGTAACTAGTAGACTTCTGAAACCTTACTCACGAGCAGTAAACCACACCAATGTGAAAAAGAGTTATTTAATTGTGGCTTTCTGCAAGGTGTCCACTGAAATAATCTTGATTTAATTCTGTGGTGGAGCCGGAGGTTCCCTAGACGCGGGTGCACAAATTCAGTTAGCTAGGTACCCATTTCTTTAAAGGATGTCCGTAAAAATTAGTTCAGTACTCTTAGTACGAACCAATATCAAATTTGAATACTTGAATTCGATCTCGATACGTGTCAAATGTCAAGAAGGTATGGAAGATGTTTAATTCTCGTTACGTCGCATGTAGCGCTGTTATAATTTCCATGTAAAATATTTTGATATTAGATGCGTATCGACATCGAATTTCAACTATTTCAATTTGATATTGATTCATGCTAAGGGTAAAGTTTATAATAATATAGTAATTATTTATTTCAGACAAAGTTATACAGTCCATAGAATGTTAGTAACAATATGCCTTAACAACTATGATAGTATAGAATTTTCAAATAAAATAATATTATGATCATCCCCTGCTGGAACACAAGCCACCCGCTATATTCGGCCCGGGGCTTCGCATGCTTAAGCAACCAGCGGTCCAACAGTGGCGAATCCCACAGGTAAACCAGTGCCGACAGGATGCTGTTGGTGCCACGGATTCTGCTCAGCAGCGCTGCGGAGCGCTTCCGTTCCGTTAAAAGCCGTCAACATGCACATCTGCGAATACCACGGCAGACCCAACTGCATCCTGAGAGCATTATTGTACCCGTAGTGCGCTATAAGCCCTCTGCGTTATAGGTGAGTTAACTTACATTGTGTGTGAAGTGGTGTCTAGAGGAGGTCCAAGTGACACAATTACTAAGAACGATGGCTGCTATTAGCAGTGATCTGGAACAAGAAAAATTACTTTTTTATAAAAAAGCTAGGATTTCATGATGAATAGTAATGGTTCTTATTACCCTTTATATATTTTGAATCGATAAATACAATTTTTATTTGATAATAAAGTAGATGGGCCTGGGTATTAGTTTAGTACAATTAGTTTTAGTTTCTCTCCTTCTTTTGGGTAAATGCAAGAATCGATTCTTTCATTCAACAAAAAGAGTTAACATACTGTCATTTCATAACAGTTTATAGTTTTCTTATAAATACATTGATAATAATACATCCTATATATTCTTTTGTTTTAATCGATTTCTATATATTTTTCCATAAAACACAGCTGTAGATATATTCTCAACTCTACATAAATGCGTTTGTATCAGTTATACTTCGCGTTTAAGTTACTCTAATGACCTGCGTAGACGAGGGACTTTTGTCTGTGCGCTTTTTTTACCCGCCAAAACGGATCGCTTAGGCACTACTGTACTGCGATTGAACAACTAAACAAATGAATAGGAAAAAGGTACGCTGGAATCCATGAAAAAAAATAATTCCTATGACTAAGCGCAGCAACGCACACAGCGAAATGTACCCCTAGCACGAACCAATATCGAATTCGTATCGTTTGCGGGTCCGAAATGTCATTGTCAAATGTGTACTGATTTTTAGTTCTCGTTACGTACTTTGTGCCGCTGCTGTTCAAGTTTCCATACAAAATTTGACATTGATATTTCGGTTTGAAAACTATTCGAATTCGATAATGGTTCGTGCTAAGGGTACTGTAGTCCGCGATGCGCGCTCGATTCGATTTAAAGAGATGGACCCACTATTCTCCTTTAAAACGTTTTCTCTTTTTCTTAAGCTTCATGCTAATTACAACACAATGTAATCTGAGAATATTTACTTCCATAGCGTGCAAAATTTTAGGGCAATTAATGTTCGCACATTGTGTGACCGCTAAGGACTTGTCCTCGACGGTCATTTTTTCACCTTTCTCGGACTTTTGTCCTCCGCGTATAAAAGTCCCAAAAGTCGTCTGCGTAGGCCATAAGAGGTAAATAAGTTAATCGATTAATTTGAGTGATGTAATTTGACCAACACATACGTAGCTACAATGAAATCTAATATTAAACCGTTAATTAGGTATCAGTATCGAATTATTTCATCTCGTAACACTCAAAAATATAATTATAAAGGCGATTGGTATGTAAATAACTCTTATCTGGGTGTTAATCTTGCGGTGTCGTTTATCCAAAGCCGATGTTCGATGAAACCATCGATAAAGGACCTCACGAATACAGCTGTGTTGCCTTGTGTAACGATAACATCTGAGTTAGATGTAATTTCAATGGTGAGAGCGAAGTCTGTTCGAAGACCTTATGATAGTAGAAAAACAAAAAAGGAACGCACACTTTAAATGTAACTAGACAGTTTTGTTTTATAAATAAATTAAAGGGATTGCCTAGTGTAAAGTTTGGCCCTAGTCAGTATACCTACACACTAAAAAACGTTAAGCAATAAGCCTTCAATAAATTGGGTTTTAAATTACTAAAATAAGTGCATTTTTTCCTTTGTGCACATCAATTTTAAAAGGTGAAGACTTTCTTTATATTCACATCTAAAAAAAAATAAAAACCGAGCTTTTATCAATAATAAAAAAAAATGGGTGCGTGTACTTATGTAGGCGCGTGAGAAGTTATCCTTCTTTGGCATCGTTTAAAATTAGTTTTAATTGCATGCAAATAATTAATGACAATAAATTAATAAAAAGTCTGGAAAAGGACACAGTCAATAAAGTTCAGTTTTAATTTGAAAAAATAAATAAATAATCAAAATATTCAATTAAAATCGCTACTGAATATAATTTATTAGAACATATGTGATTTGCACTTCTATGAAACTCAAACACGTATTCCGAATATACAAACTAGAAACATGTGGATAAATATTATAAATATGAATACCTATAACTGTTACTTTATTACAAAAAAAAAAAAATGGTTGCCTGTAAAGTCGGTTTTACGGGCGAAGATTTTACGTGACAACGTCTTTTTCTCGGTAGAATATTTATTGATATGAATATAATTAAATTGCACAATAGGAACAAGGAATTGAATGAAAATAAGAATTGCACAAATTTTAACTATAGAAATATATTTTGTTTACTAAAACATTGTACATGTAAACTTAAACTCATCGTAACGTTACCGAGCGTTACACTTTTTCATAAGTGACTCCCAGCCGCAACCTAATTTAAGACGTTGTCACGTCAATAAAGATGTGGTTTTTGGTTCTACTACACCAATGGTCAAGAGATGGCGCTGTAGTCTCTTGAATCGCGCTTTGGTTCCGTTGTTCCAGATTAATAAATACTTTTGATATTATAAATGTGAATACCTATAACTGTTACTTTATTACAAAAAATAAAGATGTGGTTTTTGGTTCTACTACACCAATGGTCAAGAGATGGCGCTGTAGTCTCCTGAATCGCGCTTTGGTTCCGTTGTTCCAGATTAATAAATACTTTTGATAGGCCTTCACAATGCAGTCGTTAGCACCCACTAAATAGAGAATCTATTTCTATTTTGTTGGTAGATTTTCTTAATGTGCGGTAAACACAAAAGTAACAGCATGAAGTTGGTCGCTTTAGCGTTACAGTGATGCGCGCGCATCTTGAAATTTCACTCTCATCATTTTTTCATAACGCGCCTAAATTAAGTATAACTTCAAAAAGTGCATATAATTATCAATTTATTTATTAATTATCCTAAATTCTTCTGAAATATTGCCAAAACAATCACCAGGAAGACATAATTTATATACGTATATTTTTACTATATTCATACATAAGTTCATAACACGATATCGTTCAAAGTAAAAATCCCACGGGACAGAAGCTTGTTCACAATGGTTGGCCGGTTGTCCGGATAGAATGAGTTAATTACCGGCCGTGACTGAACACAATGGCAACACGCAGCGACCGCGACCCGACCACGATCCGACGGCGATTCGATCGCGATCCAACGTCAAAGATGCCTGCTTCATTGTAAAAAGTTTGTAGTCTAGTTGTATGATAAAATCAATCATATATAACATTTTCGTACCACTTGCTCAAAAAAGTGACGTTCTATGCCACAAAAAGCGAACATAACAATAGTCATTTTTAATCTGTTAAAAACAGGGAAAGAAAATTGTACTGAATTTCATTCATCCTCCAGGGGGAGAATGTGATTTTTAATTTATTATTGTGCAGTTATGATTATTAAATAAAATTACGAAAACCGACGAGGCCGTATTTAATTGGATCAATGATTGGAATGTTAACTTTTACTTTTAATTGTCATTATTTTTAATAAATGCTTATCTATATGTTAATTTTTTCGCAAATGGTACGAAAAGTAGAGTATTTTCCTCGGTGATAAAGCTTGGTCTTAGACTTGGGTGAACTTAAATTCCTCGCTACACTCAGGACTCGTCTTAAATCCCTCGCTTCGCTCGTGATTTAAGTTTTTAACACCCTCGCTACGCTCGGGAGTAAACCTCGAGTCCTTCGTTACGCTCGCGATTTAAATCGTCACCCGTGACAGAAGACACTGCTTTATCCCCTTGGTTAATAATCTACTATTTATGCATTCCGCTCCCAAAAACGTGAGATTACTTTTGAGAATGTTTATCCGAATTTACATTATGAAATTAGTGGGATGAGAGTAGTTACGTGATATTAATTTCATCAACTTATTAATTAGGTTGTCAGGACTACGGAACCCTAAAATAATGGGACTTTATATTAATCAGTAAGAGCTTGGCTATTCTCGAAAAATACTTTTTTTATTATAAAAGTTTATAATACTTTTTTATTTATTTATTTGATATATAAACAGGTAGAAAACATACTAAGACAAAATTATAATCATTATCACACAAAAAACATGGATGTAACCTTAAATATGTACATGTTAAGCAACAGTCAAATCATATTATAAAACTTTTAAAATTTATTATTAATAATAGTTGTTTTTACAAAAGTGACAAATTAGCAATTGGATTCTTCTTAAATAGCAAAGATCCACGATCGAATACATCTATTCTGCTCCATTAACGACGAGTTCAAAAATTTGTGAGTACTAGGAGGATGTCGAGTATTGTAACCTTTGCTAAGTTTATTTTCTATCGTAAGGCAAAACTCGTGTTTAGTTGTGTCGTATGCAAAGTGTCCCAAAAGTGGGACAATCCACTTCGTATCGAGGTCAAATCGCTCTAGACTTCCCAAAACCGACCTAGACCACAGATAACTACCTAATACTTTATTACTCAGGCATAGTTCAGACAGCCAAAGATGCATATGACAATGAATAATTTTAATATTACTATGCAAAATCAACACTCGGATAGAATTTAAAATTAATCTGACTGAGAACTATGCAGCTTATTGGGTTGCACTTTATTGTTATTAGCAAATCGTACATTATTTCCGGCGGGAGTCACCATTAGGGATTCATTATATTATAATTAAACTTGTAATTGATGTATCAGCATTTATTATGTAACGAACACATAAAAAGCAACCTTGAACATGAATAATACAACGATTTTCCTGTGGGTGAGCGACAGTTAATTTAATAAAACTGATAATACCGTGATAAATTAGTTAATTGCATAACAATTGAAATAAGATAGAGATACATTTAAATAACACAAACTTAAAAACTACATCGCTCGTACTTACCTACTTAAATAAATAATTTACAATATAAAAAATATATCACCCACAGCTCCCCCATCAGGAATGGTGCAAATCTTAAGACTGGATGCTAGGTTTTAAAAACAACAACCCGTAACCACTAGCTATGGTGGTTCAGTGTTTGAAAGCTGGAGGCCTACTTTATTTCAACGAAAAACGAAATTTCTATCGAAATTTCGCACGTTCCTTACTCTGTTTCTATTTCATTTCGAAAATTCGTTCGTCCGAAACTAGTTTTACATTTGAATTCTCTAAGCCTACTCTA